ATGTTGTTATGCGACCGCATATGCCATCACAAATCATGTTTGAGAACGCTTTCTTCTACTGGGAATATGCGAGCATTATGCGGACTCGTAAAAGTGTTATGCGACCGCATAATGGACCGCATATTCTTCTCTTCAATTGGCCAAAATGTCTGCTTCAGTTTGCGATCTACATCTGACTTATGCGGTCGCATACTTGTAGCATTTCCATCCTTTTGTGACTTTCTGACTTCTTTCCATGTTTTGGGTCTTCAAGCTCATGCACTACAAAACAACCAAACTTGATAAGAATTAACTAAAAATACATTAAAAGACGAGTTAAAATCTAAGTAATTGGTATCAAATGTGCCAAAATTCTACGGCACATCACACACCACATTTGTTAGGTTTTGAGATTTTTAAATTATTGTTTCAGTTATTTTCACATATTTGTTAGGCTTAACTAGTATTATAGAGTAGGTGCCGTCTTGACATCCTACGAAGGGAAACTAGAGGCGTGACGGAAGTAAAATATCATATTAAGGCCAAAGAAACTGATCACAACTGGTCCCTATTGGTTCCTCGAGAACATTTTACCAACATCAAAACAAGAAGTAACATATCATATCAAGGCCAAAAGAACTGATCACAACTGGTTCCTCGATACTATTCGACAAATCATCAAAACACAAAATACCATAATTTATGAGTTATCCGATCAAATCGGAACAGTGCCTCGTGAGCCAAAAAGCATCAAACTTCGGCGCGTTAAGTATGAGGTAGATTAAGTCAAAATATTTTCTAGAAATTTTTAAAAACAATTATGCGATCAAACCGAACAATGCCGTAATTTCAAGCATAAAAGGATCAAATTCAACTTCCACGCGTTAAGTATGAGGTAGGATAAGTCGTAAAGGAATGTACTTTTACGTTGAATTGGGTTTTAGCGAAACTAATTAAATATAAAAATGGTTGACGGTCATTTTCTTTAAATGAAGTAAAAAATTTGTCATCTGTGCTTCAGTGACTGGCACTTTTTTCCCATTACTTTTAACAGTAAATGGTCCATGTTCTATACTAGAACATTAAGATCATTTATATATGTAAAAAATTTGGAACATTTAATAAATCTGCGCCGTACTATTTGGTAGTTTATTCGCCAACAAAACCCCAGTCTCACCCACCTTCTTGGTGTTATCACCACAATTACACCCATTAATTCAATCGTCTTTTTTCTTGACCTTCTGCCAAAAAAAGATGGCCACTAGCACCTTCACATTTATGTGTAACAATGAATGTTACATTATTCACTTTATTCAAAAGGAATTTTTATTGATTATAGACGTGCAAAAAGGTGGTACTATTTAAGTTTGGCATACCAAACTTTTGGATATGAGGATGTTACGTTATTCATTTGCCCACAAGTTCAATACAATCGAAGAAAGAATTAATCTAAATAGTTGCTTATTCAATTGTTTAACCAAAAAATAATTATAGGAAAAATAAACCGTGAATCATGTCAGTTATTTTGTGTAAAGATTTTCTAATTGAATAGAGAAATGATTTACAAAAAATTATTGACGCCTGAGAGGAACATATTTTTTCAGCTTCTATTTGAGTTTCACTAAAATGAAAGATCAAAATGACTGAACAAGTATTTTATGTGACTAAGTTTGAATAAATGCGGTGTTTAAGAAAGAAAGAAAATACTTTGAAAACTTGTAATCTAAAACAAGTCATAAATATTTATGTAATTATAAATTATCTTATTACGGATAAATGAAAAGTTTAACAAACAATTTCCAAAATTAGAAAATTATCATTCTATTTGGAAGACCAAAAATAAAAATGTAACCACATAAAATGGAATAGAGGAAGTATTACTTAAACAGTAAATGGTCCATGCTCTATTTTAGCGAAGGATGAAAGTTTACTTTTACGGAAGTTTTAGTTATGTACCTTTATAATCCAGGTTTAGCTTAGGACAGAAAATTTCTTTTTTAGGAAATATTCATTATCTATATATATATGTATTACTATTTTGGTCATTTTATCGGCATTACAACCCCAATCTCAACACACCCTCTTTTCTTGTTGGCCTTTTCTGCAACAAAGAAAGGGAAAAAATGGCTTCTATCTATGCAAATCCTACAACTTCTGTAAACACTTCCCTTTCATCACTTTCTAGAAACATTTTTCTCCATAGTGTCTTTAAGTTTATGTCTTCAATTAGAAAGCGTTGTCATTGTCCATATACAAACACAACTGTCCGCTGCACAAATGTTCGCCGGCCGCGGCCAAATTACAGGCCAGGAAGATTCTCTGACCCTAACTATGTTGGTATTTACGATACAACCCTTCGCGACGGAGAGCAGGCCCCTGGTGCCACTATGACTATAAAAGAAAAACTGGACATTGCACGTCAGCTGGCTAAGCTTGGTGTTGACGTTATTGAGGCTGGTTTTCCAGCTGCCTCTGACGCTGATTTTGAGCTTGTGAAGTTGGTGGCACAGGAAGTTGGTAATTTTTATTTGTGTGACCATATATATGTTTCAATACATGTGCCAACATTACTAGTATTTGGGATCTTAGAGAGATTCTTTGATGAGTTTGAATTATTATTATGACTTACTAGTACTTGTATATCATGAATTTATATGTCCAAAAACTTAAAGAACTTTTGTCCGAATTCAAATTAAAAATAGAGTATTTTGAAACTCTTACTCCGAACCTAACCTCATAAGGTGGAAGGGAGGGAGTATCTAAAAGTTAGAAACATTGCCGTAATATATTGTGTAGCGGTAAAATTTGAACCCAAGACCTTCTTCCTAAGTAATATGTTGAAGTCCGATCTCATCTAAAAGTTTAAGATATTAAAAAAAAAATATTTTTAATTATTAAATATCTCAACAGGTAACAATGTAGATGAACAGGGATATGTGCCGGTGATTTGTGGCTTTGCAAGGTCAACTAAGAAGGATATTGATAGAACTTGGGAGGCTTTGAAGTATGCAAAGAAACCGATGATTAGTACGTTTATTGCGACGAGTGACATACATATGAAATATAAGTTGAAGATGAGTAAAGAAGAAGTAGTGGAGAAAGCGCGGAGTATGGTCGCTTATGCAAAAACCCTCTGTGAGGATGTCCGGTTTAGCATTGAAGATGCTGCAAGGTTTGCATTTTTTATATTGATCCATTATTTATATAACTTTAACTCTTTTTAAAATTTCTTACGGTATTTGGTTATTACTGTTCCATTGCTTCTTTTTTCTCTCCTTGTGCCGAGAATCTTTCGGAAACAGCCTTTTTATCCTCCGGGGTAGGGGTAAGGTTTGCGTACACACTACCCTCCCGAGACCCCACACGTGGGATTATACTGGTTGTTGTTATTGTAAACTCTTTTTAGAATACTAGTTTCTCGTTGCACGTGTATTCCGAATTATGTAATACACAAGTTTATAAAATATTATTAAAATAATACTTTGGTAAATGATTATACATGAAAGATAACGTAAATTAATGTGAAAATAGCGTTAATCTATATATTACTTTAAAAGGAAGGAAAAAGCACTCACCTTAAGCAAAGTGGCAGCCTAGAAAAAAATCAGATGCTTAAGTAGTTAATAATTAGTTATTGGTTTTTATTTTTTAATTTAAATATCTATAAATAATAAAATAAATTATTTTATAAAAAAAATAAAATTAAATGAAAGTAGCATACAGAAATTTACATAAAGTAATATGCTAATAAAAGTTTCTATTAACAACACAAAAATACTAAATATTGGATAATATAATAAAGAAAAATACAGAACAAAAAGCTATTCAATGCCTATATAAGTCTCATTAATTTAATAGAGATTTTATTCATTAAATTTTAGATAATGTTATTGAGAAATAGGATATCTATATATTATTAAAAGGAGAGTAAGCCCTCTCCGTAAGCCAAGTGGTAGCCTAGACAAAAGCCA